TCGACCTTCTTCCATATTCCCAGAAATCCCCACAGCACTCTCTCCATCTTCTTGTCCAAGATTTATTAAGGAAGGCACAATCTCTTCATTTCTTCCCAACGATACTTAAGAAAAATATATTAAAAATTTTTGATTAACTATAATTTTTAATTAAAACATTTACCTTTGCCATTAAGGTTCAGAAAAATATTTTCTAATACTAAGTTGAGAATATTGCTAAAAAAAATATATATAAATATTTATGTTAACTATAATTTTAATTAAAACAATTACCTTTGTCTTTAAGGTTCAGAAAAATATTTGCTAATACTAAGTTGAGAATATTGCTAAAAATATATATGTAAATATTAATTATGTAAAATATTTTAATTAAAACAATTACCTTTGCCTTTAAGGTTCAGAAAAATATTTATATTAAGTTGAGAATATTGCTAAAAAATATATATGTAAATATTAATTATGTAAAAATTTTAATTAAAACAATTACCTTTGCCTTTAAGGTTCAGAAAAATATTTATACTAAGTTGAGAATATTGCTAAAAAAATATATATGTAAATATTAATTAGGTAAAATATTTTAATTAAAACAATATATATGTAAATATTAATTAAAACAATTACCTTTGCCTTTAAGGTTCAGAAAAATATTTATACTAAGTTGAGAATATTGCTAAAAAATTTATATGTAAATATTAATTATGTAAAATATTTTAATTAAAACAATATATATGTAAATATTAATTATGAAAAAATTTTAATTAAAACAATTACCTTTGCCTTTAAGGTTCAGAAAAATATTTGCTAATAAAGTTGAGAATATTGCTAAAAAATATAAAGTGTTGTGATGATTTAATGAAACATATTGACGATTAAATTCAAACTCATTCATAAATAATGTTAATATTTGCAAAAATAATTAAAATATAGACAAAGCATTATTGAAATTTCTTTTATTATTTCTTTTGTTGTACATTTGTAAAGATTATAATTATACATGCATGCGTTTAAATTAAATCGTCAATATGTTTCATTAAATCATCACAACATTGTATGTAAATATTAATTATAATGCTATTTTACAATTTTCTAGGAAATTTTTCGAAATATTGAAGCGAAATGGTATACAAGAAAGACAAACGGATCGGACCGATACCAAATTATATATTTACAAAATAATTTATTTTTATCAGTTAAACATGACTAATCTTAATTATTGCTTTTCCTTTCCATATTTAATTTCAATATGTAATAAATTAAAATAAAATCTTACTTTGTTTACCCCCTTTTATTGTATATTTAAAAATGACACTCGTTTCACTATAGTTACCCCAAATAATTTTTCAGTGCTTAGCTAATAACCAATTTGGTTACATATAGTTTGAGTCGTAAATTAAGTTTTAGCTAACACATTTAGATCATTTATTAATAATGTAATAAAATGATCCACTTTTGCGATGCTGGACCTAGAAGTTGACCCAAACCAGTCAATCGAAAATTCTATTGGGTTATTTACCCCAGTCCATAATTGTTCAGCCCAGACTATAAATATTTTTTAAAGGAGAAGGATATAAATTTGCCTAATTATCAAATAATTCAAAACTTGGGCCTATCCATGTAATTATTTTGTTTGTTAGACCTGACCCCAAAATCACTTTGCCTGGGTTGGGGCAGACTTCTGGACTGCACTCCTTCAACCTCTAATTTGAACTATTATTAACTTCGATTTTAAAACTAATAAAGCGTCATCTTGAAGGCGGAAAAAATAAGTGGTATTATATCAGTTATTAAAGGAGCATGCTATCCCCACTTTAGCGTCAATAAAAAATTATTTTTTGCGTGAAATTATATATATTTTTTTAAAAAGGAATTAATGTTTTAAATATTTAATGATGAATAGATGGAAGCTGATAATATTAAAAATTTTATGTTCCATTCTTTTTTAATCTCTTGTAATAAAAAAAGAATATGCAATATTTATTTTTACCTAAAATAAAAACTGGAGGTAATTTTAATGTCTTAGGCTGATTGCATGGATCAGTAACATAGGAAGAATCACAAAGGACTTAATAAGCCCTTGAAAACTTTAGAAAATCTACTGAAAATTTAAAAAAAATTAAGGTAGATTTATTGTATAATTTTCCTATTCTTATTTTTTGTTAATTTTGGATATTTCAAAATAAGTTAACACCACTGTTTTTATTTCCTTATAATTTTCATCCCTATGTATCGGAGGTTTCATTTACGCTTATTTAGGCCCTATACCAAGGGAGTAGTGTTTTTCGCAAATGGGGAGGCTAAAAGGTGCTATAATTTAATGCCACAATATTACAATATTTATGCCTAAAATTTCGCAAGAAAGCTATTTATATAAAATATTAATTTATTGGTTAGAGCCAATTAAAAAAAATATGGTAATCCTAATTTTCAAATGCTTTAGCCTCCAAAGCACCTTGCTAACGACGCCTTTTTCCTATACCCATGGTTGATGCATGCACTTCTATTACGTCCTCTAAATAAAGGACTAGACATGTGGCAAAATGCAATGTATTTTGTAACCTGAAATAAATTTAGTAATTTTACTTTATAATTGACCCGTTAGTCATTTATTTTGAAATTTTCTTCACCATTAATTTCTTCCATATGTATCAGTATTAATTTTATATATCATTTTGTCTAGCCTGCACTATGTGTATTATTGTGATAATTTATGTTATTATTGTTGATAAACTGGCCAGCAGATTAAAAGTATATTGATTATAGTTATAATACTTTTATTTTACACTGAATCGTATTATATTTTATTTTCATGCATCAATTTATAACAATTAAATAATAACATACTGATTATTTCTTTCAAAAATTTACCTTATATATATATTTGCAAAAATTTGCAAGTTTAAAAGAGAATAATATGTATACAATATGATAAAGTAAAATATAACGAAATAAAAATAATATATAAATTTCTATGTATATTTTATAAAAGTCATTAGATATACGAATGTTATATAATTTCTATTATAATTATTATAACTTATTTTAATTAATATAATTTACTATAAGCTATTTAAATAATTTTATATTATATTTTTATAATTATAAATTTATTCTAGTTATTATTTAAATTCAGCAAAAATAATAAGTATAACTGAATTAAAGCTAATTTCAGTGTTTTTACAACCCTGCCAATTATATTATGGGGAAGCATGGTTGCCCTGTTGCATCCCATCCCATTCTACTCATATTACAATCGACAATGCAGATTACAACCTCTACATTCTAAAACTACATTTTAATAACGCCTTTAACAGTATCCATAGAAAGTTTATACTAGCTCTTATTTAAGTTAATCCCCAATAATGACATTTTTTCACTGTATATCAGTCCATTATTTAAAAATATAACCTTAACCCTAACCTATATAATGTATTCTTAGTAAAATCACACAGATTAAACTAATTTTAAAAAAGTGGAAATCTATTATTATATATTGATGCAAAACCCTAATCCAGATGGTTTTAATACATGCCATATGTAGTTTCCATTAATTTAAACCTATAAATAATTATACAGTATAGATAAGTTGACATTGGTCTTGTATGGCATAAATCTTAATGTGCAAGCCTTTTCCCAAACTTGAAACATTTCCTTTTTCCTATCCTATTTAACACTTCATTGCTTTTATTTATTAATGTTAGCAGCAAAGATTAATTTAAACAGATTTTTAACACTAATTTATAATCAATCAAAATAATATATGACCTTAATTTCAATATTATAACTAAATAAGATTAATAAAATATTTTACAAGTTTTATGACTTATTTCATTGTGCCCTAGAATACATTCACCCACTATTCTTAGTCTACCCTAGGGGTGGGACCAATACCAATATAATATTGGTTTACAATACCAATATATATTTAAATATTGGTATTGCATTTACAACCAATACCAATTACCTAAATATATTGGTTTTGATATATTGTTTAAAATTATTTTAACCAATACCAATATCAATATTAAAAATAACATAATTATTTGGTTTTATCGTGGATAATTATATCGTGGTATTTTTTAAAACTTTCATTGCATAAACTTATTACATCTGTTATTTCTTCCAAATACTACTGTGATATCAATATTGCTGTTATTTATAATTATAGTTTTTATTATGGAAGTAAATTTTTTACATGGAAAATCCTATGAGGTTGGGAAATAGGGATTTCAGGATTTTTATCTGCAATATTTGTCGAGGGAGACATCCTATTATAATAAATGAAAACCAAATAGAGTTAATAAATATAGATGCTGTTGGTACTGATAATAATAGCGATAATGAACAAGAAGAATCATCAATATCTAATAAAAGACGAAATACAGCAAAAATCTGGGAATTTTATACTACTTGTGATACTAAAAAAAGGCAATTTGTAATAAATGTAAAAAAAAAATATCACTTCCCAATTTTGGGACCTCAGGATTATGGACACATCTTAAATCCATCTATCCAACATTATATAGGAAATGTGAACAAATAAATATTGGCAGTAAAAAATTATGACAATAAAATCACTTTTAGTTAATAATATAAATAATAAAGCTAATTTAAATAATTTAATTATAAACTTTTTCATTCAAAATAAGTTAGCCTTTTTAATAGTTGAGGATATCACTTTTAAAAATTTAATAGCACATTGTAACCCTTCACTAACATTAGTTTCTAGAAAAACACTAAAAATATAAATTATGAAACATTATCATAGTTCTTTTATCAATTTAAAATCTGTACTTTCTAACATTACATCTAAATTTTCCTTAACAATGGACATTTGGTCCTCTCCAAATAAAATACCCTTTATGGGCATAACAATTCATTATATTGATAATGATTTTAAATTAAATAATCATTTATTAGATTTTATTGATTCCTTTTAAATCAGCAGATAATTCTATTAATATTTATAATATTTTTAATTTTATATTAAAATTGATTTTTTTCGTATAACCACTAAATCGCCATGTTCAAAATCGCCAAAACGTCCAATAACACCCTCAAAACATCCCCAAAAAGAGCTTCAAAAAAATGGCCGCTAAAATTTAAAAAATAAGCCAAAGTTGTTTAGAAAGGATTATTTTATTTATAATATTTAACAGAAACCTTTTTGCATCAATATGAATTTACAAGATTATTCCAGGATACCAAATATTCAATTTAAAGTAAATTACCATTATTATTACATTATATATTTTTATTAGAAAACCCAAAAAAACAATGATGTAATTGTCTATTTGGGCTATGAATATTTAATCAAGGGCAATGGTCAAAATTACATTTACCTAATATGTAGATGTAAATGTGGGGGTCGAGCCAAGCTTTCACTAGTAGATATTGTTGTTACAAAACAACATATTGACACTTGTAAATGTAAGAATATATCTTCTTCATATATTGTAACAAATTATTTATTTTTAAAGATGCAACAGTATCAAGGCTCCCTAATTCTTTGCAATGTATTTTAAAATTTTTATTAAACTTAATATTTTTTTTAGCAAATAATAATCCTATCCCCCAAATACCTCAAATTAGGGCAACAGGTGGTATATTATTACAATATTTTATTTTATATCATTTATTTTTAAAGATGCAACAGTATCAAGGCTCCCTATTCCTTTACAATGTATTTTAAAATTTTTTAAACTTAATATATTTTTTTAGCAAATGATAATCTTATCCCCCAAATACCTCAAATTAGAGTCCTCGAATTTCCTCAAATTAGGGCAACAGGAGGTATATTATTACAATATTTTATTTTATATCATTTATTTTTAAAGATGCAACAATATCAAGGCTCCGTATTCCTTTACAATGTATTTTAAATTTTTTTATTAAACTTAATAATTTTTTTTAGCAAATGATAATCTTATCCCCCAAATACCTCAAATTAGGGCAACAGGAGGTATATTATTACAATATTTTATTTTATATAATTTATTTTTAAAGATGCAACAGTATCAAGGCTCCCTGTTCCTTTACAATGTATTTTAAAATTTTCATTAAACTTAATATATTTTTTTAGCAAATGATAATCTTATCCCCCAAATACCTCAAATTAGAGTCATCCAATTTCCTCAAATAAGGGCAACAAGAGGTATATTATTACAATATTTTATTTTATATAATTTATTTTTAAAGATGCAACAGTACCAAGGCTTCCTGTTCCTTTACAATGTATTTTAAAATTTTTATTAAACTTAATATATTTTTTTTAGCAAATGATAATCTTATCCCCCAAATACCTCAAATTAGAGTCATCCAATTTCCTCAAATAAGGGCAACAAGAGGTATATTATTACAATATTTTATTTTATATAATTTATTTTTAAAGATGCAACAGTATCAAGGCTCCCTGTTCCTTTACAATGTATTTTAAAATTTTTATTAAACTTAATATATTTTCTTTAGCAAATGATAATCTTATCCCCCAAATACCTCAAATTAGAGTCCTCCAATTTCCTCAAATTAGGGCTACAGGAGGTATATTATTACAATATTTTATTTTATATAATTTATTTTTAAAGATGCAACAGTATCAAGGCTCCCTGTTCCTTTACAATGTATTTTAAAATTTTTATTAAACTTAATATATTTTTTTTAGCAAATGATAATCTTATCCCCCAAATACCTCAAATTAGGGCAACAGGAGGTATATTATTACAATATTTTATTTTATATAATTTATTTTTAAAGATGCAACAGTATCAAGGCTCCCTGTTCCTTTACAATGTATTTTAAAATTTTCATTAAACTTAATATTTTTTTAGCAAATAATAATCTTATCCCCCAAATACCTCAAATTAGGACAACAGGAGGTATAATAATACAATATTTTATTTTATATCATTTATTTTTAAAGATGCTACAGTAACACATTTACAATTGCATTCTTCTTCAAGCCCACCATTAAATTTATTGCCTAATGTAGATGGTAATTAAATATTTTTATTGAATAAAATTAAATAAACTATAGATGATTTTGAAATAATAGATGCGGCATATGCTATGCTTGACATAAATCAAAACATTTATGGTAAAAATATAATATAATGATATAATATATATATGTTATTAAAGGTCAATTTGTTAATGGTCAAAAGGGAAAACCATTCCTCTTTTATCGAGAATATCTCTATCGTTTTCACTATGAAAGGGGGGATGTAGTTCAGTACCGTTGCAGAAAACAAGGCTGTCCTGCAAAATGTAAATATGACCATATTTACATTTCATCAGGTGTACATGAACACCAACCTGATGTCGGGTATTTTGAGGTCCTCAAAACAAGAGAAGTTCTTGAAAGAACTATTGCCCAAAATCCTACCGAAACAAGGATGAATATTTATCAAAAAACTATCGATATTAGATGTTTAGAGACTACTCACATCGAAAATTATCCAGAGGCAATCCCTCCTTTTATATCAATTAGGGGTCATATTGACAGACTTCTAAAGAAATATAGGCCTTCCATGCCTCATTCAATTGAGGATATAATATTAACGCCTGTATATGCAACCTCTACCAGATCTCAAAGATTTCACATCCCTACTGAATCTAATAGGATATTGGTCTTTGGGACTACGGATATGTTAAAATTGTTGGGAGCTGCTACGACAATATATATGGACGGAACTTTCTACATAGTTCCGAGATTATATTGTCAGCTCTATACCATACACGTGATGTATGAAAACATCATGATACCAGTTGTATATGCTCTCCTTCCAGATAAATCAAGGGAGACATATATTCAACTTTTTCATATAGTCAAAAATTTTTGTACCCGTGAAGGTATTAATTTCAATCCTCCAATTGGCCAAACAGATTTTGAGGCGGCAGCTATATCTGCTCTTCGATTTGTATTCCCAAATATAGTGATCAAAGGTTAAATTATAATATATGAAAATTATAATTTAAAATATTTAGGATGTTTCTTCCATTATTCTCAAGCTTTATGGCGGAAATGTCAAGCTTTGGGTTTAGTTAGGGACTACCTGAACGACTCCCATGTCCATATAGTTGTTAGGCGGATGACAACTTTACCATTTTGCAAGGAGGAGCATTTGGCCGAGGTACTTTTATCTTGCTACTCAATGGCAACTAACAATCCATCCCTACTTCGTTTTATGGAGTATATGGATCATACGTGGCTTGGTGAAACTGCCTTATTTCCCCAAACTATATGGACAAGGTATAAAAACTTAAAATAATTGTAATCAATCATTCTAATATTTCTAATATTTATTAGGTATCATGTAGATGGGCCCCGCACAAATAACCATCTCGAGGGGTTCCATCATGCCCTAAAATATTTTTACAAAGATATACGTATATATGAAATTGTACTTTATTATACTTTTTATTTTTACAAAAGATATACGTATATATGCAATTGTACTTTTGTTTTTTAATATATTTATAATCCAAAAATATAATAAATATTAATACTTTTTTATATTTTTACAAAGATATACGTATATATGAAATTGTACTTTATTATACTTTTTATTTTTACAAAAGATATACGTATATATGCAATTGTACTTTTGTTTTTTAATATATTTATAATCCAAAAATATAATAAATATTAATACTTTTTTATATTTTTACAAAGATATACGTATATATGAAATTGTACTTTATTATACTTTTTATTTTTACAAAAGATATACGTATATATGCAATTGTACTTTTGTTTTTTAATATATTTATAATCCAAAAATATAATAAATATTAATACTTTTTTATATTTTTACAAAGATATACGTATATATGAAATTGTACTTTATTATACTTTTTATTTTTACAAAAGATATACGTATATATGCAATTGTACTTTTGTTTTTTAATATATTTATAATCCAAAAATATAATAAATATTAATACTTTTTTATATTTTTACAAAGATATACGTATATATGAAATTGTACTTTATTATACTTTTTATTTTTACAAAGATATACGTATATATGAAATTGTACTTTATTATACTTTTTATATTTACAAAAGATATACGTATATATGCAATTGTACTTTTGTTTTTTTAATAAATTTATAATCCGAAAATATAATCAATAAAAAAATTTATTCTTATAGTTACTAGTAAGACAAGTGAGTTACATATACTTAAGAATCTATAAAAAAATTTATTCCTATAGTTTCTAGTAAGACAAGTGAGTTACATATACTTATGAATCAATAAAAAAATTTATTCCTATAGTTTCTAGTAAGACAAGTGATAAACATATACTTATGAATCAATAAAAAAATTTATTCCTATAGTTTCTAGTAAGATAAGTGAGTTACATATACTTATGAATCAATATAAACCTTAAAAAAAATTTATTCCTATAGTTTCTAGTAAGACAAGTGAGTTACATATACTTATGAATCAATATAAACCTTAAAAAAAATTTATTCCTATAGTTTATAGTAAGACAAGTGAGTTACATATATTTATGAATCGATAAAAAAATTTATTCCTATAGTTTATAGTAAGACAAGTGAGTTATATATACTTATGAATCAATAAAAAAATTTATTCCTATAGTTTCTAGTAAGACAAGTGAGTTACATATACTTATGAATCAATATAAACCTTAAAAAAAATTTATTCCTATAGTTTCTAGTAAGACAAGTGAGTTACATATACTTATGAATCAATATAAACCTTAAAAAAAATTTATTCCTATAGTTTATAGTAAGACAAGTGAGTTACATATATTTATGAATCGATAAAAAAATTTATTCCTATAGTTTATAGTAAGACAAGTGAGTTATATATACTTATGAATCAATAAAAAAATTTATTCCTATAGTTTCTAGTAAGACAAGTGAGTTACATATACTTATGAATCAATATAAACCTTAAAAAAATTTATTCCTATAGTTTCTAGTAAGACAAGTGAGTTACATATACTTATGAATCAATATAAACCTTAAAAAAATTTATTCCTATAGTTTCTAGTAAGACAAGTGAGTTACATATACTTATGAATCAATATAAACCTTAAAAAAATTTATTCCTATAGTTTCTAGTAAGACAAGTGAGTTACATATACTTATGAATCAATAAAAAAATTTATTCCTATAGTTTCTAGTAAGACAAGTGAGTTACATATACTTATGAATCAATATAAACCTTAAAAAAAATTTATTCCTATAGTTTCTAGTAAGACAAGTGAGTTACATATACTTATGAATCAATATAAACCTTAAAAAAATTTATTCCTATAGTTTCTAGTAAGACAAGTGAGTTACATATACTTATGAATCAATATAAACCTTTAAAAAATTTATTCCTATAGTTTCTAGTAAGACAAGTGAGTTACATATACTTATGAATCAATAAAAAAATTTATTCCTATAGTTTCTAGTAAGACAAGTGAGTTACATATACTTATGAATCAATATAAACCTTAAAAAAAATTTATTCCTATAGTTTCTAGTAAGACAAGTGAGTTACATATACTTATGAATCAATATAAACCTTAAAAAAATTTATTCCTATAGTTTCTAGTAAGACAAGTGAGTTACATATACTTATGAATCAATAAAAAAATTTATTCCTATAGTTTCTAGTAAGACAAGTGAGTTACATATACTTATGAATCAATATAAACCTTAAAAAAATTTATTCCTATAGTTTCTAGTAAGACAAGTGAGTTACATATACTTATGAATCAATAAAAAAATTTATTCCTATAGTTTCTAGTAAGACAAGTGAGTTACATATACTTATGAATCAATATAAACCTTAAAAAATTTTATTCCTATAGTTTCTAGTAAGACAAGTGAGTTACATATACTTATGAATCAATAAAAAAATTTATTCCTATAGTTTCTAGTAAGACAAGTGAGTTACATATACTTATGAATCAATAAAAATATATTCCTATAGTTTCTAGTAATACAAGTGAGTTACATATACTTATTAATCAATATAAACCTTTAAAAAAATTTATTCCTATAGTTTCTAGTAAGACAAGTGAGTTTCATATACTTCCGAATCAATATGACCACCATCCACTACATTTCAAATATTATTGAAGACGCCTGATTAAAACATTTATATTATTATTATATATTTTATATTAAAATATTTTATATTAAAATATATTATATTATATAATTATATATACTTTATAATATATTACACTTATATTAGGATTTTATTATATTATAATATTACATTAAATAATATTTTAGTGTAATACATTATTAGTTATATATATTTTATTATATTATACTTATATTAGGATTTTTTTTTTTATTTTATATTATGTATATTTAGAAGATTAATTATAGTATTAGAATGTAGTACCTTTTTAGTATAATATTATTAGTTTTATTTTATTTTATATTAGTATTATATTATATTAGTATTATATTATATTGGTATTATATTATAATACACATTATAATATTGGTATTATATTATATTTGTATTATATTATTATTATTATATATTTTATATTATATTACACATAATAATATTGGTATTATATTATATTGGTATTATATTATATTGGTATTATATTATATTGGTATTATATTATATTGGTATTATATTATATTGGTATTATATTATATTGATATTATATTATATTGGTATTATATTATATTGGTATTATATTATATTGGTATTATATTATATTGGTATTATATTATATTGGTATTATATTATATTGGTATTATATTATATTGGTATTATATTATATTGGTATTATATTATATTGGTATTATATTATATTGGTATTATATTATATTGGTATTATATTATATTGGTATTATATTATATTGGTATTATATTATATTGGTATTATATTATATTGGTATTATATTATATTGGTATTATATTATATTGGTATTATATTATATTGGTATTATATTATATTGGTATTATATTATATTGGTATTATATTATATTGGTATTATATTATATTGGTATTATATTATATTGGTATTATATTATATTGGTATTATATTATATTGGTATTATATTATATTGGTATTATATTATATTGGTATTATATTATATTGGTATTATATTATATTGGTATTATATTATATTGGTATTATATTATATTGGTATTATATTATATTGGTATTATATTATATTGGTATTATATTATATTGGTATTATATTATATTGGTATTATATTATATTGGTATTATATTATATTGGTATTATATTATATTGGTATTATATTATATTGGTATTATATTATATTGGTATTATATTATATTGGTATTATATTTATTATATTGGTTTTAAATTATTATTGTATATTTTATATTATATTACACATTATAATATTACATTATTTTAGTATTATAGTGTATTACATTATTAGTTTATATTATTAATTTATATTATTATTATATATTTTATTATATTACACTATATTATATATTTGTATTTTATTATATAGGAAATATTATATTACTTGTGGTGTTTTAAATTACGTACAAAAATATTTGGCTATTTTGAACTTGGCGATTTCGTGTGGGAACCATTTTTTTTGCATTACATTAGACAATGCAAATAATTTAGCATTTCTAAAAATTTTAAAACAAAAAGATAATTTTGATGTGTGCAAATGCTTTTGCCATATAATACATTTGGCTGTCATGGCTGCATTGGAACCCTTAAATACAACTTTAAAAAAAATAAGAAGTTTTAAAAAAAAATAAGAAATTTTTAAAAAAAATTTAAACTTTCTATATCTAAATTTAATAAACTCGAAAAAATATTTATTGAAAAAAAATCCACACTTAAAATTTCTTCACCTAATTTTGGATATACCAACACGTTGGAATTCAACATACCAAATGCTTGAAAGGCAATATTGCTCAAACCCTATTTGACAACATATACCAATCATTTACAAATTACCAATGAAGAAAATTTAGTGCCTTAGCCTGGAATAATATAGAAATATACCGAGAATTTCTGGAACCATTTAATTTTGCTACAGAGATGGCCTCATGTGCTAATACTCCATCAATTTCAATAATTATTCCTTTATATTCCAGTATTTTTGAGCATGTGGAGTTATAATAATAATGCTAATTCTATTTTAAAGACAGCTTCTTTAGCTGCCTTAACAAAACTTAATAAATATTATAATTTTAATATTTATTATTTCAACAATGATTGACCCAAGATTTAAACTATCAAGTCATTTATTAAAGCATAATAATATGGAAACTCTTATTGGATATCTCACTAATGAAAACATTATTTATAAAATAAATAATAACAATTCAGCGGAACTTACAAATGAAGCACAAAATAACAAAAAATTGTCCTTTTATGACAAAATTTATCAGGTTTAACCTCATAATAATAATAATAACTTAGAAATAAGTAAATACATGGATGAAGCCACAATTTTCAATTATACAAATCCATTAGATTGGTAGAAATTAAATAAAAATAGATATCCAATATTATCAAAAATTGCCAGAGATTATCTAGCAATTCCGGCTACCTCATTTAGCTCTGAAAGGGCTTTTTCAGAAGGACGATATGTTATAACAGACCAACGTTGTTCACTAGATGAGCATACTATACAAGTTTGCTTGTACCTAAAAAGTTAGATGCGCATGCAAGATTCTTCTTAAATATATATAATTATTTCCTCTTATATTAGATTTATATCATCTTCTGCATTATATTTTTAAATAGACAGTTATGTTACATTTTTAGTTTACTTATTTTGCTATGTTCTTTGTGCTAAATAAAACGTTTCAAAATCAATACGTTTATTATTGTTGACACAAAAAATATGATTAAATCAAAATTTTTTATATTCACATCACCTAATAAATTCGTGTTTAAAAAAAGAATTTGGATTCAGTAAAATTTTGAGAGTTGGTTCTTAGCCCTGATTTTATGGTAATGCTTCATGAATTTTTTTTCCATGTTTATTTAAAACTAGAAATTAAGGGTTTTATAATCACTATTTCTATTCTTTTAATTAGTAATTTGAATTTAAACCAATACCAATAGTTACCAATATAAACCAATAGCAATACCAATACAAGAAATAGGAAATATTGTTTAAACCAATACCAATATTTTAGACCCAATACCAATACAATATTTTGTTAATATTGGATTTTTAATATTGGTTTCCAACCCTAGTCTACCCTCATTTTGAAAACTGTTGTATTAGGATTATAAAAATTCATTATATGTTAAAGGATTATAATTAATTTATATATATATTTACGAACCTGTTGTTAGCCATGTACTTTGTTTATTTTTGTGGAAAAAGGAAAAATACAGTGGCAACAAAGGAAAAAGATGTTTATTTTTGTTTTAAAAAAGAGAAATTTATGTATATACTATCACTTATTATTTTTATGGAATTTATGAATAAAGAAATATTTGAGAAGAAAAGATTCATTAATTAATAATTAAAGAAGAAAGGAAGATAAGATTTATAATTAATATTTAAAAAGTGAAGAGGTAAAAGATCTATAATTAATACTTAAAGGTAAAAAAATCTAAAGCTGAAAGGATGGTGGCCATTGTTAAAAATTGGTTAAAGAAAGCCAAATATAAAAAAAGTGAAGTGTGGATTGCACAATTATATTATAATAATTCCAAAAACAGTGGAGGTTTTACTCCAACTGAAAGATTTTTGGGAAGAAGGACGAAAGTATTATTGGATCTTATAAAACCAAGATGTGATATAGAGGTTTTATCAAAGAAAATCAATAGTACATTATATCAAATGGGTCAAATGGTATGGGCCAGATGTTATAATAATAAGGATAAATTATGGGAAAGAGGGATAGTAATAGAAAATTTAGGAAAAAAATTAAATCGTATAAAATTTGAAAATGGGATGGAGGGTATTCGTCATCATGATCAAACAAAAATTAGAGCAGAATAATTTATACATAGAGCTGGGAGGGGGAGGAGATATATATTTATTTTTGCATTTCTTAAAGATTTGATGGCAAACGTATCATACATTCATTTTAAGACACATATCATGAAAAATGTGATATTACCAATTAATTATTATCCATTGTCGATAAAGTGGGAGGATAAATGGAGGCAACAAATGAATGGAAACACAAGGATAACGTGGGAGAAACTGATGGAGGATGAAAAGGAAGAAGAGTGTATTTTGTCGAATCGATTTGATATAAAGCGGATGCGACAATGTTTTTGTTATAGTAAGTGGGGACATTTAAAAATTCAGTGTCAAGGGAAAAGATTTCGGAATTGAAGGAAAAGAATACAAAGGATTAAAACAGTAGTAGCTTCTAAAGAGTTTCAATTTGACAAGTATTCTTTAGATGTCAAAAATAAATATCCAGGAATTTTCAATAAGGTGAATATTGAATCGGAGAAGAAAACATTACCTGTCATGACTCAAGAGAAAGATATATGGCTACAGAAAAAGGAAGAAAGTGAATTATTAAGTGGATTGAAAGATGAATTGGAGATTGAATATATACTGAGTCATATGGAAGAAATGGCATTATTAGAAGAGGAAGATTAAAGGATATTATATATACTAAGCCTTAATAGGGTGGACGTGTTGTATTAGGATGATAAAAATTCATTATATGTTAAAGGATTATATAATTAATTTATATATATATTTACGAACCTGTTGTTAGCCATGTATTTTGTTTATTTTTGTGGAAAAAGGAAAAATACAGTGGCAACAAAGGAAAAAGATGTTTATTTTTGTTTTAACTATCACTTATTATTTTTATGGAAATTTATGAATAAAGAAATATTTGAGAAGAAAAGATTCATTAATTAATAATTAAAGAAGAAAGGAAGAAAAGATCTATAATTAATATTTAAAAAGTGAAATTAATACTTAAAAAAGGAAAAAGGTAAAAAATTCTATATATATATACATTACTTTCATTTTAAAAACAAGCACAATAAAATGCTTTGTTTAAAAATTCTAAATCTTGCTTATTCAAACCAGTTTGAAATGCTCTTCAAAATAAAAAATCTTCAAAGATTTTCACCTCTAAAGATTTTTTCGAATGCTCAAACAAGTTTTTTTACTAAATTTTACCTTCAAATTCCAAACTTTTATAAGTAAATTTTTTGTGATTTTTATGCATAAAAAATTTTTCACAATGAAATAACATATTTTTAAAAGATATATTTGATTTTCTTTAAAAAATCTTCAATTTTGTGACCTTAGATTTTTATTTAATTCTGAGCAAAAAAAGTCTTATATATTTTTTTTAAACTTTGTTCAAAGAAAAAGAATATATATGGTATTTTATTGCATGTAAGGACACATATTTTTACTTAATATAATATTAGGTAAAATTTTAAGAATATAATGACAATATCCTAATGTTTATTTTGAACCAAAAATATTGCATTATATATTTACAAAATATAAATGTTAAAAGTGGTTTATAATATATATTTTTTAATTTATTCTTTAGATTTTAAAAATTTTTTATAAGAATCTTCATCCATCAAAGATTTCAATTCTTGAGAATTGTCAATAGAAATTTTAAACAACCAGCCTTTATCACAATTAAATATAGATTTTTTTAAAAAATTAATGGTATCTAAAACATAAATCAATTTTAATATTTTGATTTAAAAAAAATTCTAAATCATATAAGAATAAAAAATATCAAAAATTCCCATTTTTTGTGTTGGATATTAAGTATGATTTTATTAACATGTTAAAATACCTTTATCTAAACAAGATGCATTAATAATTGATGGCTTATTTTCAGCTTCTTCATTTTTAAATTCAATTTTTCCAGTGATTGGTGAATATATTTCACTAGCAGCTTTCACACTCTCTAATGCTCCACATGGATCTTTTGATGGTTAATAAAAATATATATTTAATTTAAAATACATTATTGCAAATACAATGAAGTAAAAAATTAAGCTCTTTTAATTAGGCTTTTCTTAATTTTTCAAATAATGTTATTCTTTTGATCAGTCAGAGTTTTCTCATATTTGTAATAATCATATTATATAAATTTGCTGCATTATTAAAAAAATGAAACCTCCTTTTTTCAAATATTTTCCTACATCTGGCAGTTCAATATAAACAATATCTCCCAAGGATTTCTTTAAAAAAGATATAAACTCGTTATAAAAAGTTAATACACACAGTATAATATAATAAATATTTTTTTATTCTCAAACTTGAGCATGATCACTTATTCCAACAGTACCTAATTTATTTTCAACTAAAATCCATTCATGTTCTTTGGTATATAATTTGTCTATAATTTTTATAAGTCATGCATATTTAAATATCTTACCATATAATGTAGTATAAAAATGAAAATTCTTATTTATATTCGGAAATTTCTTTAAACAGCTGATACGCAGCATTTACAAATACGGCGCGATAAGATAGATGAAAATAAGTATTACATCAATCAACATATAAATATTTGCTAAACAACACTAAATTCTGTTAAAACCAGTGATATATTACTTAAATGTTTTGAGGGAGGGGGGTGGGTGGGTATTATTTTATATATTATCAAAAAACATTTAATTTTCTTTATTTGCGTATATGAATAGATGTGTTGGCAAAATCGAACGCACAATAATAATCTAAAGCCGCAGCCGAAAAATCTAAAAGCAACAAATATTTCCAATTAGTAAACGTAGTTTATTTTGCGCACATTAGGGAATTGCAAGGTAATTCCATTTTAAAAACCTTAGATAAAAAACAACAGATCCCAAAGAAAATTTATATCTTAGACAAAAAATGCAGATCAAATTTTATCTATCGGTTCCATGCCAGACAATATTTACAATATATTTTAACCCCCCCCCCCCCCCACACCAGTTTTTTGATATTTGATTTCATAGAGTTTATAAATGTTAATATAATTTTTTTATTAACTATGCCATTATTTATAATATATTTTAAAAATAATATCATAAATTTACATATCTATACAAATAAAAAAATGTATAATATGAAAAAATTTCTATAAATCTTTCATTTATTAGTTTTCTATGGGCTGAATATTTCAATAATTTTAAATTTTTTTATAGAAATTTCTTCATCGATATATTGTTGAAACTCAGCAATAGCTTCATATTCATTTAATTTGAATCTTCGGCAGATTCTTCTTATTTTACCCTAATTGCATTTAGGTTCTTAGGTCAGTTTTCTTTTTAAAGAATATATTGAAAGGAATTTCCTAAATTAACAAAATATATTCAAATTATTTTACCCTCGTTTTAAAGCTATTAATTAGACGAGAATATGATGCTCTGTAGAGAAATTATAAATTATCTTTTTTAAATATTACTAGTCTTGTTTTTTAAGGTTTTAAATAAATGTTTGTTGATTTTTTTTATTTCAACTTTTATGAATATTAGAATTTTTGCTTTCAGGCTCGGTCCATAACCCGGCCCTAAATTAAAAATATGATTTTAGAAATTCGAGTGAACGTAAATTATTCATATATTGGCTATTATATTATATTTTTAGAACGACAATAAATTAATCAGGATTTTCAATAGTGTCACTGGGGGGGGGGGGGCAGGGATTCGAGCTCCTTGATAAATTTGAAGAGATCCTTCAAAATTTTAAATTTTTTTCATACCACTAAAAAAAGAAGGCAATTTGGAATAATGTTAGCTAAAAAAAAGTAATTTTGGTTCGCTATAAACAAAGAAAGTAATTTTGGATTATGTTGGCTAAAAAAATAAGGTAATTTTGAAAATTATTTTGAGCCCACTGAGATTATAAAGATTAGTGACGCCTCTTAAATTTTTAACAATTAATTTATATTACACTATATATATATTTGTTATAATATTATATTATAATTTGTATCTTTTTTTTATTTATTATAATATTATTTAATATTTATTTGAATTTTTATTATAACACTCTTTAGTATTCACATTAATACTTATTATTTTTATAACATATTTTATTTTGAGATTACGGCGTTACTTGAAATGTTATTATTCAATTCTCATTTCATAAATGTTTAACTTTAATTTTATCATTATTACTTTATTTAAATAATGATTCTTTTCTTTATTATAACAATGAAAGGTATTTTAGTATTATACATATATATTTATTTTCTAGTATTTAGAAAATAGAAAAATTACCATAAATGTGATTGCTTTAAGAACTATTTCTATAAGATACCTAGCTCATATTTTATCAAAAAATATATTCACAATTGTTTATCATGGATCGCGATTCTGTTTTATTTTGAAAGAGTTATTGGGATCCAATTTAATATAATGAAAATCATAATATAATTATCTCTAATTCAGGCGCGTACGCAGGAATTTGGTCTGAGGGGGATAATAAAAATTTTTAAGAAATATTATTGTTTTTTAAAAATATCAAGCATAAATTTATTAGGACTAATAACTATTTCTAATACACAATTTAAATTAATGTATATTATAAAAAAATTATATGTAAAGAATCACTTAAATGACCCAAAATAGAAATTTGAATTTTTTGAGCCTTTACACAAAAAGTTTCTTAGGAATAATTGCATTTTGTATGTTATAAATTTACAATGTAAAATCCAATCTTCGTTGTGATTGAGCTAATTTTTCAATTATCTCATCCTTGCTTGTCGTCAAATGCCTATGAATATTCAAAAGATCCAAATCTTTCAATCTACTTTCAGATGTTGTACTTCTTGGTATGTTTTTCAGAGATCTGCAGGCACGGCTCCCAGGCCGGACATTATTTTAATTTTTTTAAATATACCCGGGCCGGGCCCGAAATTTTTTTAAAAAAACACCCAAGCCGGGTCTGAATTATTTTAAAAAAACACCAAATCCGGGCTGTATTTTTTAAAACAGCCTATATTTGAAATCGCTATTATTAGCTATAAAAATCAAAAATAAATATAATTTATTTAAAAAAATCCGGGCCGGGCCTAAAAATTTTTTAAAAAAAGCCGAGTCGGGCCTAAATATTTTTTTTTAAAAAGCCGGGCCGGGCCTGAAATTTTTTAAAAAAAACCTAGGCCAGGCCGTAAAAAATCTTTAAAAAAAATCCGGGCCGTGCCCTGCAAATGGTACTTCTCCAGGCCTCTCTTATTCTTCTTAAAAAAGAGAATGTTCTCTCATTAGTTTACTAATGGGAAGAGTTTATAAACCCTTTTAATACATTGGGAATTTAATCTAAAATGTGTTTGAAATAATGCAGAGCATCTACAACATTTTTTGGGACTATATTAACCATAGTTAATCTTATAAACATAGTTATTCAGCTAGTAAGGCATCATAAGATACTTTAACATATACATAATAAAAATCTAACAAATATTTATTTTTTCTATCACCATCTGAAAAAGGTTGGGAAGGCTTTTGTGGAAGTTATTTGCAGATTAGTAAGTGCTGCATGATGAATTAAAAATTCATTTATTTGGGTTATAAATGTATCTGATTTAAGATATACTCTTCTACTGATCCTATATTAATGTTTTAACGATGAGCTTGCCTTGCTACAAGTCGAGGGAGACAAATATTAAACACGTATAGCTCTGCTTTTGACTCAACAATAAAATATAAAATATAGAAATTCTTCATCAACATTAGCCCTAATTTCCTTGAGTTCTGATAAAATGCTCTCCGCTATTCTCATTTTCTTAATCAAGTCAATGTCATGTTTTTGAAAAGTAATACTTAAAATAATTGTATAATTAAATAATACATTCTAATGAGAAATAAAATTTGGAATAAGCATTGTTTGTATCCAATAATTTTCTTGCTTCTGAGGAAATATTTCTTTCAGGCCATTGTGATATTTCAGTAATAGCAAATAATTGGCTTTTCTAACTCCTTAAGCTGTTACTGCTTGATGCCAGAGACTCTATCTCGTTGGACTTGCAATTTCTTTTTCCCTGTTGGACAAGAAGTTTCAGAAATAATTATTATTTGACTAGAAATTTGAAAATGGTAGATAAATATTACGCCACTAAAAATTTGAAAATAATAAGTAAATATTACGCCGGAAAACTTAAAATCGAATTTAATTGATAAAATAACTTAGTAAATAAATGCGATAAAAAATGTAATTAAATATATATTTAATATGACGAATAAATATTAACAAATATAAATTAATATAAACAATAATATTTTTGAAAAATATATCCGGCATCTGCATTTTTTGGCTTTGGGGGGGGGGGGGGGATTTCTATTTTTCTTAAAATAGTATATTTTTTTTTAATTTTATTTTATTATTTCTTATAAAATGTCTTGTATTTGTTTATTGTATTTGTTGGATGCGCCTATAGATGAACGATAAATATAAAATTACATGCATTTTATATTTATATTAGATGACAGCTGGAAAAAATATATAAATCTTGGGCCGGCCCAAGATGGGACGGGCTTTTGAGATGGGCTACGCTAACCTAATTTATATACAGAACTCTATACGTGAGTGTGCTTTTAAGCAAAAAAGTAAACTAATATAATTTATTCTTCAGCATAATATAATTCATAATTATTTTTATTCAGATAAAATACAACATTTAATTTTTAAATTGATTATTTGTTTCATCATTACATTTTGTAACCTAACATTGTCCTTTTCATAATATCGATGCAAGGTCCTAATAATCTTTCAAACGCGTGTATATCTAGTGCTAATAATTTTTAGGTAAAAAAATTAAATTAACATAATTGCGTTTAATTAAATGGAATTAGTTATAGGTATCTTGTAAATATTTTTACTTTTTATGTTAAGTTTAAAATAAGCATTATGAAAAACAAATGTATTAAAATTGCGAATGATTTAAAATTTTTTTTATAAATCAGAAACCTGCAGAGGTACTATTTGCAGGGCTCCCGGCTCGGATATTAAAAAAAAATTTTTTTTTGCCCAACCCCGATTTTTTAAAATATTATAGCTAATGGCGATTTAAAATGTTCGGTATTTTTTTAAAAAAAGAATTTTAGGCTCTACCCGTCCCGGGTATTTAAAAATTTTTTAGGCTCAGCCCGGGTATATTTTAAAAAATTTTCTAAGTTCAGCCCGGGTATATTTAAAAATTAAAATATAGCCCGGCCTCCAGACCCGTGCTGAGCCTGCACGTCTCTGATATAAACTAAATAAAAATTACCTGCTAATTTAACTTGTCCTTGTGCATATGCCGACGCTGATCGAGGTTGATTCAGGATTAAAGCCAACTCTAAAAAGTTTTTTAAGCTCATAATAATAATCTGTTTTAGAAAATTTAAACAAACCTCCAAAATAGTCTCCCCTTTTCTTTGTAGATAAAGAAAATTCTTTCTATAATAATTTATGGGAAAAAGGAACTTGATGTTATTCTACATTATGAATCATAAAACATACCCCATTTTTATTCATCAATATTTTTACTGTTCCACTTTCAACTATATACATTTTATCACCAATTTCACCCTAGTTTAAATTATTATTTTTTTTAAAATCTTTTTAATTTCTTATAAGAATATTATAACTTGGTTTATTATCGTTTCCCCATCGTTAAAATAAAGGGTAGTCAAAGCGTCACATATATTCATGCGTTCAAATTCCTATTTTTTTATAAAATTTATTTATTTTTACTCGATATAGTTTGTTTATATTATTTATAAACCGTCAAATTCGCAAACAATTTAACATTTTGGATAAATTTGTCAAACATTTTCCGCTTCATATAAGCACTCTTTAATACAATCCTTCTAAATGTTATCCTATCCTAAAAAAATGGGAAGATTATATTTAGGTGACCAAATATAATTTGTACTAAGGCCCAAAGATTGCCATCGGATGTGCAGATAATATCTGCTGAACGGGGTTGATTGTATAGTAAAGCCAGTTCCCCAAAACTTCCAGAATTCTCGTAATGGCAAACTTTTTTAGAAACCCCATCACAATTAATAAAAACTTCAAACTTTCCACTTTGTTTCGATAATTTCAATTTTTTTTTATATCCAGTTAATATACAATATATTATTGAATATATAAGATATTATATAAAAGATTAAGAAAAGATGCACAGTGGACACTTAGGAAAAATATTAATTTATCATATAATAATGAATATCTCATAAAAAGAATGCAATTTGTTTCACTAAGCTCTTGCGTTGTCAATCTTTAGAATTATTTCTATATTAATTATAAAATATTGCTGTACATAGGTGAATAAAGAGGACTAAATAACAAATTCACCTTTCAATAATGTAAAAGTTATCGCCTTCATCGCCTTGCTTAATAATAACTTCACTGGAATGCACCTTGATTTTATGTTTAAATATTGATAAAGGTTATTAAAATTTTTATAAAATTTAATTTATCAGATGAAAATCCATGGGGATTTCTCAATTAAAATCATTTACTTCGAAAGATTCTTACCGAAATATATATTTTTTAAAAATTTAATTGGAAAATCCATATAAAAAATGAATATGAACAGCTCAAAAGTTTATCGGCGAAATTGTACTAAATATTCACAGGGTAGGTATACTTTACAGTGCTGGAAAACATTTCCTATAATATTATAATTTTCAAAAACGGCATCAGTGAATGATTTAAAATTGAAAGTTTCAGAATTGGATTTTTTAATGAAAATAAATAAAATGTGTTTACAAATATCAATAAAAAAAGACCCATTCAAAACTAGGAAAAAAATAGATTAATATATATTAAATTGAAAACTGTCAGATTAAAAGAATGAATCTTTCCTTAGATGGAACAGTGAACAGAAGAGGGGTAAATTTTCTTTTAAAAGATATTTAAAATTTTTATAACCTTTTTCTCATTCATCGCATCTATCACCTCGAGCATTTGTTCCTAAAAAATAATTGTAATTTTATCCCAAATAAATTAAAATTTTATTTTTGAAAAAATAAAATAAATTACCTCATCTAAACTTTTAAATATAAACACGTCTCTTAGGATATTCCTTATGCGTTCGATTTGATCAGGGTTTTTTGGAAAGATAACCTTTTTATTTTTAAATAATTATAATAAATTCAAAATAGGGTGAGGCTGTGAATTTAAATATGCGAGAATTAACAGCTGAGCTAGGGCTATAAAATCTTATAATGATATTAATTTTTATTTATTAATACATAATTATTAAATTATCATCACGATTGAATAAAAAGATAAAATCAATATGTAAAAGAAATGGATCGCTTTAAAAGATTTTATAAACTCTAGGACTTTATTCGTGTCGCATCGCGTTTAATATAAATTCAATCAGATAAGCGTAACATGTTTAAAGTAGTGGAGTATTCAATTTTTTTAAATTCCTTTCCTCCTATTACTATTCTATAAACCATGTATGGAGACAAATAGTTCCTAACATCCCCCCCCCACCAACCCTTCTGCCTCCTTAGATGTTTATGTAAACACTGGACACCTTGATATAGGAGTGAGAAATTGCTTAGCTAAAATAAACATTTTTTTTAACACTAGCGAACCAAGAGAAACGAGGTTTAAATTTAAAGAGTTTATAAATTTATTTTAAAATTATAAGGCTTATAGATCTTCTACAATTTTTACACCAGATAAATAATTTTTACTCGAGAAGTCAAATCATGAGTGCATTCTTCTGGATTGTAAGCCTCTGCCGATACTTTAGAAATAAAAAATTAAGATTAGGATATTCTATCTACCGGATTTTCTGCGATCCTTAATAGGTTTGGGATAAGCTTTTTATTTAAAAAAATAAAAGAAATATTGGTTATATTTATATAATTATTTTGGAAAATAAGGGACATCTTATTATGACATTTTGGTTATTTTTTTTGAGAGATAAGTTCAATAACAAAGTCGCTCCCGAAATTAAAATAATATTTTTATATTTTAAAAAACATGTTTTATAAACTTGTTTAAAGAAAAAAAACACATATATAATATTTACCGTGAGCTGGTAATTCTTGTAACGAATCTTCCTCAGTAGAATCCTCTTTTTCCGGCTTAATATTATTTCTAATTACGCTATTTTCGCTGTCTAAATATCTTGTTGAAGGTTGGTTTAAGGAGTTGGAAGGATTGTTTTCACGTGACTGACTTAAGTTTGTGAAAAATTGCAATCCAAATTCGCAGAGATCCCTAGGATTTTCTTCGATTGCGCTTACGCAAAATTGTAGCAGAATATCATTTAATTCTTCGTGCACAGCTTTACTTACATTATTAGTCATTTTCTTAAAAAAAAATTTTTATTATTATTATTTACACGGTTATAAAAATTAGTTATATGTATATTTTTTTTATAGAACATTCTTTTGTTGTATAAAGTCTAGTGATTATATATGGGACAACCTCTTATTATATTGCTATATTATCCGATTCAATTTACCTATTTGTTCTGTCAATTTTACTATATATATAAAAGCCTGGTATAAAATCGTTTTTGATTTTTTTTCTCTCTCTCAAAGTGCATTTTTATGTGTAAATTGGAAATAAACTGTTCTTATGTAGAGTAATGTCCATAAGTAACCATGTTTGGTTCTTTCCATAAAAAATATATATTATCTTTTGAGTGATCGAACATACGAAAAAATTATTTTTTATTTATATATAAATGTAATTATAAATTTAATAACAGTCTAAATTATTAGGAATAATATGAAAATTAATTAACTAATGTCTAAAAAAGGGCATTGTAAAATTTGAAAGTTTGGGAATAGAAATATTTAAAGTTATTGAAAAAATATAATCTATGATGTTAGCTTCTCTCAATCTTCTCGATATTTTTTTGTACAATATATTTTGTTATAATTCACTATTCAGAATTATTTTATAAGAAGATGAAGGGGGGGGGGGTTTAACATGAAAAAATTTTTATTTTGAAAATAAGTGCCCTCGCAATTTCAAACTATTATAAGTCATAAGGAAATTTATTTTATAATATTTTACTTTATATAAAGTATATATAAGTCATTTAGAAACTTTAAGCATTTCCTAACGTTAGGTCTTGAAGATTAACTGTAAGCACCTCAGCATTATTTTAACTGATTTTATTGAATATAGATGACCCCATTTAGTGATTCTAACGCAAAAGAGTTTATAAGATGTTGTAGGTAAAATTCTTCAATAAAAGTGTCCATCATTTGATTGTTCACTTCATGGTATCTTTACTATATTGCAATGATTATAATGTTGTTCAAAATATAACACTCCAATACACTTTAAAAAGAAAACTATCCTCTAATTTAATTTTATAAATGAATTAAATATATAAAAATGATTTCTAACAAAAATTTCTTCCATATATACATGGTTAGGGTCAAGAATCGCTGTATGATTTTTCTTAATGTCCATAATAAATGCTTCCTTAAAAATTATTGATTTCAAAATGCCTTAAAAATATTGTGTTATTAGATAATATACTTAGTGTGCGCCGAAGTCTTAATGGGTGGCAGAGGTATTTAAATTTTACATCAGCGTTCATCGGCGAGAATTAGCCACCGCATAATAAATTGGCGGCTTCGGCAGCACTTCATATTTTAAAAAATAAAATTTTATTTAAAATTCATTCTATTACATTTTTTTATAATTTTTTTGGACACTCTTAGTTTTAGATTGATATAGTTTAGTTCTTAAATCATTTCCTGCCCCGCTCCTAAATAAATTTCTATATTTTTCATTTTCCTAAACAGAATAAGCTCAGGGTCACGCACGACATCTGTAATATTCTATCGATTTTTATTAAAATTGGAATAAATAAGGAAAGAAATATAAATAAATTAGAAATAATATTTTGTGTGTAAATATTATTTTGTAAAGATTGGTGGAGCATGGTTCTTTTAGCGTTGAGTTATAATCCAGCGATGGAAAAGATAATTTCGCTGGTTGCAGATATACAAAGTACTTTCCTAGCTAAATCAACAAATTTAGGAAGTTCCAGTCGCTTTTTTCCTCATAAGGTTAGTGCATTCTTTTCTGCTATAGTATATTGGCCGAGTAAAATGTGGCATTCTTTCTTTGCTATTTTACCTGTATACGAATTGGATGCTTCCCCACTATCTTCAATTTGAATCTCATTCTTCACTATGATGCTTTATAAGTTTTAAATGTCTTATTAAAAATTGTATTGGAGTGGTAAAATTCCAATTTAAATATAAACAATTTTAAAATCCTGAAATCTCGAATCAAATATTTTCACTAATATCTATTTGTACAAAATATATTAAATAAATGTTTATTAATGAAAATATTAAAATTTATATGAAATAAATTATTTGCTCTTCGTTAATTGGAAACCTATGGTCAAGCTTTTTTAGCATTTCATTTAGACTAATGGTATCTGAGCTATCAGTTTTACTGATTTGTATATTTTTTAAATTTCATTATGAAATTATAAACCAAAATTAATTGTTGATCCCTTTTGGGAAGAAAAGAATTCAACAGTCTCTCTGAATGGAATTAGTAAATGCGAATTCGTCGGATTCCATTCGTTATTAAAGTTTTAAAAATTGCCTCCCTATTTCATTTAGCCTATTATTCAAAGAGCCCTTGTTGATACCACGGATACTTTCTAGCATAATTAATATGTTGTGGCAACAAGTAGGGCATTTTGATTTTAAAGTTTTCATATTATTTCGATTTGGCGCATTGCAATAAGTACTATGCATTTTAAAAATTTTACAGGTCGCGCTGTTGGCAATAAATGGATGGTGAACCTGGAGACATAACTCTTCTTATCCAACGGCTTTTCCGGAGTGGAAAAAAATTCTGGTTGCACACAGGTCGAAATATATTATAAATTATATTAATTCCATTTCACAGGCGTTTATATGTATTAACGGTAACAGAAGGAACAGAGCGTTAAAAATATCATCATTTAGAGCAAATTATGTTATCTCTGCCAATAATAGCTATACATTATCAATATCTGGACTATAGAGATATTGAAGGAGTGAAACTTATCATGGCCAAAATTGAGGAAAAGAGATCTTCTTACCTAAAAAATTAGCCTTATATAAACCGATTCAAATATCTAAACTTTTCAGTTTTGTATCGATAAGAGATAATACATTTACTTATTCATAATAATTTTCTATCAAAATAAAAATGTTTGTCAAATTTTTTTTTATAAATTAAAATAGTAATAAAATTTGAGAAAATTACCCTTTGTCAAAAACCGTATTATAGAAGCTTTATAAAAATATTTACTACACTATAAAAAATGTAAAATATTATTGTATCTAAATTTCTAATAAATCTATTAGGAACTATAAACTCATAATGATCATAACTATTTAGTTTTATTCTACTATATTACATAATCAAAAGAACATAATATTGGTATATACACTAGAATTAAAAATGGGTGAATTCAATGGTAAACCAGTGATATAAAATAATAAATGAAATGAATGTACACGTATAATACATTAAAAGAAACCAAATTTGTTGCTAATACTTACAACATAGATGGCATAAGGTTTAAGAGGTTATATATACATCAAATTATAGGCTGTATTAGTGAAATGCTGAACTTATATAAGTGAAAGATAACATTATGATCAAGTTTTACAATTGTAACATTATTTTTCCCTCTAAAAATATTTAGAAAAAAGTATATATTATTAAAATATCGAAAAAAAGGACAGAAATGAATAGAGATATTATAAAAGATTGCAAATGATTGTTATATTATTTTGGGGAAATGAATATAACAAAAAAAAATTTATAAAATTTGACTGAAATGCTCGTTATTAGAAATTCTTAAAAGAATAAATTAAATTATATTTCAATAATTTTTTTTACAAAAAAAACTAAAAGTACCTTAAATATAGTATATAAGATATAAATTATTGCATAATTAATAGTTGGTGCAAGTGCATGTGTAAATTAATATAAACAAATTATATTATATATTATTATTATTATCTAAGAGCCTTTTTTTTATTGTACACATTTTTCTAAGAAATCTTTTTCATGTTTACTGAAAATGAGCCAAATGTTGTGAGTTTCAAAATATATATTTGTGATAACAAAATGTTAAATTTTAAGCAGACAATTTCGCTTGCAATTTAGATTTCGCGCATTCGGGACATAAAATGTCGGGGCCATCATTGATAAACCCTTTCCCGACCAAAGTGATTTTACAGGTGGAGCATTTAAAGCATTCGTTGTGCCAATTTCTGTCTTCAAAGGAAACAAATTTTGTGCCTCCTGTTCCTAGTGTTATTAATTGATAAAATATAAACATTTAAAAACTATAATTTAGGCATGCTCAAAAAATACGATGCCCACTTGTTGACTTGCCCCTGATCCTACGTGTAGTGGCCTAGTGCTGTAAACATTTCAAAAAAGAAACGCGTTACTAGTATATTTGAAAAAAAACGCGTTACCGCTACACGTTACCTTGTGAAAAAAGAAGCGCGTCTCGGTGGTGTCACTAGCCTTTATAATCTCAGGGGGGGGGGGCTCTTTAAATTTTTCAGAGGGTTCCAGCTATGCGCCCTCTAAAGACGTTAATGACGCTCGCTTATAAAAAATTAATGCGTTACTTAAAAAATCAATTATATATAAATTTTCTTTTTATTTATTTTATCCCATAGGTTAATAGCCCGATTTGGGTCGATTTTTCAAAACAGCCAGATTAAAATTTTAGCTAAAATAATATTAAGCAAGCGTCGAGATTTAGCAAATAGATGTCCAAGCATTTCTGCCAGCTATGAGTAAAATCTTTAGGCTTATATAATGTTGTTTTGGTTATAATCTTAATCGGGCCGTTTTTTACAATTGACCCGAATTGGGATTTTTAACAACACTACCATAGATAATACAAAAATTACAAAAATAATATATCATAATGATAAGTTATTTTTGTAATAATTTGTAATTTATTTTTAACAATAATTATATAAAATTTAAGAAACATAGAGTATATAATATTATTTACAGAGACCTGCATGGCCCGGTTTTTTAAAAAATAGATTCTAATTATTTTTAATTTTCATATCTAATGATGGGAATTTAATATTTGGTTTCAAAATATACGGTCCGGCCCAGGTATTCTATAAAAAAATTTTTTAGTTACAGTTCGAGTATTGAAAAAAAAATTTTTAGACCCGGCCCGGGTATATTTAGGAAAATTAAAATACGGCCCAGCCCTTGTATTCGGACCGGGCCTGCAGGTCTCTGATTATTTCAAAAAATAAAGGTATCAAGTAACATTTGCGTTATCCTTACTCAAAAACAGAAAACGCGTTACTTGTTACCTATTGAAACAAGTAACGAATGACGATCTTTTTCCTCAAAAATGTAACGCTGTTAATAAACATGTGACTTTCACTGACGTTACTTATCAGCACTACTATTTACAAATCAGGCATGGAATGAGCCGAAAAATAATATGATCTAAAAATCCTTTCCGAGAAATTTAAAATCCCGTCCTAGTTTAAAATTTAAAAATTAGGACCGGTAAATTTAAGAAAAAAAATTTTAAATAAAATTAATTAGTTAGAAAATGTAGGCAACTCATATAATGGAGCTTTTAATATTCATTAACTTCTCACATATTTAATTTTACTTTGAATCAATTTTCAAAATAGAGCCAAAATCATTCAAAATAACAAATGTCTGACATTTTGACTTTTATAGATCATAGCTCCAAATAGTGAGCCCGAAAACTCTATACATTCCTAAATGACTATTTATATAAAAAGTTACCATGGAACAAATAGCAAAAGAGGGCGACTTTTATCGATAAATCGATGTATAATTTTTATTTATCTATATGTTGTAAACGAACGCGTTCCATGAAGGGTTCGTGAACGAAGTTCTTTTTTTTGAAAAAAATGATGAACGGCGTTCCTTTTATTTATGACGAACCACAGAACGAACCTATTAAAAATAAACTTATAGCGTTATTGAAAAATTTGAAAACCCTAGAAATGATAATGCAAGAACTGTTAATTTCGAGATATCCTTTTTTTTGTCGAGGAAGTAGAGAATGGATTGGAGGAGGATAACTTATCTCAATTTTTTGAAGCAAATAACAAAACAATAAATGTTTTTAATAAATTCCCCACGTTAAAAGAGTTATTTATTAAGTATAATACCGCAATCCTCTCATCTACCCTTGAGCATGTTTTTAGTATAGCATTAGCTAATGCCGTGTTAACTGCCAAGCGTTCCTGTCTATCAGATGAGAATTTTGAAAAATATTGTTATTAAAAATTAATAAGAAAAGATTTTTATAAATAAAAATATCTTTTTATTTGATATATTATATTATATTGAATTTATAATTTATTATCAAAATAAAACTATATTATTTTTTAACATCGCTAATATAGTGTTAATAAATATAAGATATTTATTTATATTAGATTAAATTTTAAAAAAAATTTATCATAAACATTTGAACAGTTCATGAACGTGAACGCGTTCCTTTTTTTGAAAGTGAACTTGAACGTGAACGCGTTCGATTTTTGTCAATGAACGTTGAACGCGTTCGATTTTTTTAAAAATGTTTACAGCACTATATATATGTATACATATACTAAAGATTTAAGAGTCATATTAAAAAAATATTTTTATTGTATAATATTTTTAAAACTTATTCTTATTCATTGGGGTCGTCGACTAGGAATGGGGAAACAGCGTGCATTCCTAAATCTGCACGTTCACGACTAAAATATAATTACCATTTGAGTTAATCATTTTTTTTGAGAAGGTAAATATAAAAAAAATTATTGACTCTTTAGCACTAACGACACTGCTGTCCTAATTGTTAAAATAAATTCGCATATTTATGAAAAAGGAATTTGGCCAATTTTTTTAAATGAGAAATATTATATTCCTTTTTATATATTTGCCGTATTGGAATGTGGAATTCATGGGGATTAGGAATTTCCCGATTTTAAATCCTTTATTGAGTTAGATTTTTAAATTTAAACCATCGGATTTGAACGAAAAATTATTTCCAGGATGTGAAGAGTACACGCACGGTTAATTACAGGCAATTTTGCAGTAAATTTATTTGTATATTTTTTTTCATTTATATGAAAAATAAATATAAAGTAAGAGTACTTCAAAAGTTTATAGAAAAATGTCTTAAATTCACAATGTGGGTACTCTGTATAGTTGGAATACATTTCCTATCTAACCTTTTCAAATTTAAAAATTTACCTAAGTGAATATTTTAAAATTGTGAGATTCCAAATCCCTATTGAATTCCATTACCACATATTTATAGGTTGACTATTTTTGGTGAATTCTTAGTTTATTTATGTATTGATCCTTCATAATTGTAGTAGGTTTAAAATCTAACAATTATAATTTTATAGAGAATCGGTATGTCATTTTTTTTTAAAAAAACCTATTTTTATTTTTTTAAAAAACCTGTTATAGGGTTTTGGCAAGAAAAACATCGTTTAGCAAAAAGTTCGGCGAAACAATTGGTGCAATAAGGCTTTTCATCTTTACAAGCAAATTTTTGTCCGGCCAGAGGTAGGGAGCAATTAGTGCAAAGAAAACATTCTTTGTGATAGGGCTGATTTTTGTATGTTACGCCGTTTGCTGATATAACCTTATTATTAGAATTTAAAGGAAAGAATTTATTTATATATATATACATACATGTCGTATTAAGATATGGTATTATCATTTACTGGAGTACCACACTGTGAATTTCAGACAATTTTGCCTTAAATTTTTAAACCAAACTAAACTTATATTCATTTTCATATCGATTTTTTCATATAAATTTAGTAATACGCAAAATTTAATGACAAAATTGCCAAATTTTATAGGGTAGTTACTCTACATAAAATTGAGAGATTCAGAATCCCCATGGATTTCATATCCCGATACGACATATATATTTTAATCTTTCTTTTTTTTTAATAACAGTGAATAGTAATGTAAGTTCTGGCAAGTTTATTAGAAGATTAAGTATATTTCTAATATCTTAGAAGGGAATAACATGGTAGGAGTGAAATTCTTGTATACTTCCTATTTGCTTTAAAATAGATATTAACTCTCGATAAATGAGGGGGGGGGGCGGGCTGGGGTTAAGTTTGGCTTTTTTTAATAAAGTACTTAGCGGTTAATCTTTTAACAAATGTTTAACTATGTAATCCATATGCGGACTAAAAGAATTTAGTATAATTTATATATTTATTTATTTGAATAAAAACATACTACTTTATTAAAATTATAATGATGGTGAGGATTTGGAACTTACTTTTTCAAGGTTAAAAAGAGTCATTTACACAAATTTTAATATGATCCGAAATTATTATTTTAAATTTCTTTAAATAAATAACTTGTTTTTCTTATAGAAAAATGTCAAATTCTGATATATATGGCTCCTGTTTGCCAAAATAAAAATTTATGAAGAAAAAAAATGATCTAATCATGTTATAGAATTTAGTATGATTTATTAACTTTTACCGTTTAGGGCTTGCCATAACCCCAATCTCTCCTATTTATAAAATATATTTAAAATTTTTTTATAATAATATATAAAACATACCTTTTGACATTTGGCACACCGCGTAGCGAATTTATCCTCGTAACATTGAAGGCAATATATCCTGTTATCCTTGGGGATAAAACTTTTGGTTCCGATGGCCATTTTGCAATTACCACAGCAAAAACATTTTTCGTGCCACTGCTGGCCCTTATATTCCATTTTTTTGGTTCCTTGTGTTTGTGTGGTTATTTAAATAAGCCAATGATCAAAAGAATAATCTCATGTTTTAATCATTACTTTCTGTTTGAGCATGCATAAATAAAATATTAAAATGGACTTTTTTTAGCATTCATGACAAGAGCTAATATACCTTCTTTTAGGTAAATTTTTAATCAATTTTTTCGTTAATTTAATATGTTTTTTAGTATAGAGCGAGGAATATCGAAGTCAAATAAACCAAATTGACGCCTAAAAGTGATTATATTCTGGATAAAAAATACACAGGATTTTATAAGAGAGTTGAAATATTTACATTTAAAAGTCATTGGCTTTCGTTATAATTTTGAAAGTCTTACTAGAAGCCTATTTGAAATAATATTAAATAAATCTGAGATGGTTAATTCATCTCTGCAGTTAATTATTCGTTTATAATTATAGGTTAACTTTTATTGTGTATCTCTGATAGAATTTAAAAGATTATTTAGCTTAATTTTTAGGTTTATATTTTATTGTATATTAAAATAAAATTAAATAAAAACAAAATTATGTAATAAAATTAAATTTTCGATTATATTGAATAAAGTTAAGTTTCACTACAATTAGGTATATAATCTTTCCTTGAAGACTAAAAAGTTTCAATAGAATAATGAATTAAAAATTTTCAGAGATTATGCATTTCTCAATTTTAAGTCATCTACGAGGGTAATTTTTAGACCGAAAATGATTTCCAGCATGTATATAGCATCTACACTCATTTTCAGACAATTTTGTCATAAAATTCTGAACTATTCTTGATATTTTATAATTTTTCGTATATAACAATAAAAAATATACAAAAAAATGTTTATGTTAAAAATTGTATAAATATATTTCTGATCAATCATAAAAATTTGTCCTAAGTAAATTATTTAAAATTGAGATATTCCGAATCGCTAGATTCCATATCCCGTTACGACTTATATTAAATATTTTATTGAAATAATTAATCAAAATAAAAACCACAATGTTACTGATAAATGGAAAGTTCAATACGAATTTTTTTTAAATTAAACCAATTATATAAAAGCGTATGTCCAAACCGGGTTTAAAGACCTCCCCGCAACCGTCGCAATGGGATGAGAAGTGGATATCGTAGCAGGTGGTGCAGTATATCTTGTCATCGCGCGAGGCAAATGTTTTATCGACGAGAGATGATTTGCATAAAGCACAAACGAAACACTTTTCGTGCCAGTGTTTGTCCTTGTATGATATGTCCTTTTATATGAATGAAGGGGAGAGGTTAGGATATATAAATATATTAATATGTTCCCGGCTTTAGCAAGGTGTTTTTAAAAAAAAATAAAATAAACTTGTTTCTCGGATCACGACTCAAATTTGAGGCGTGGTAAAGGATCAAGAACTTTGCTTTCATTCTTTATCTTCCCTCCCCCTCCCCATTTCGCCTTATTTAAAAAAAATCCCACTCTTATATTCATATATATTTTTCTAATTATTTTTATTTGATTCTTCTATGGGAAAGGCGGTAAACATTTTGTAACAATACGCCTTGCCTTCATTAGAATAAAATTTACCCTATAGTTGCATGAAAATTAAACTGATCCAATGCCATATCAAGGATTTTGCTTTGGAGAAGGGGGGGGACTAAATATGACACCAAACTCATTTCTATGGATTAGATATGTACAAAAGCAATAACCAGGCACTAGTTCGGACCTGGATCTTCTCTCTTTGAATCTGACCGGTTCTTTTAAAATAGCCAGCTCTTTTTTTATATAATATTCTTTTGTTTAAAATATATGAAATTAATAAACAAAGTATAGTTACAATACAGGAAAAAATATATATCTAGATGAATAAAATAAATTATATTTATTTTTACTGTTGAAAATATTATAATTATTTTTGGTTCGATGCGTGAATCATATTTTTGAGCATGTTTTGTAAATTTTAAACATCTGATTTTAACGGAAATGTATTCCAGTAAGTTTAGAATAATCTACCTCGTAAATTTCAGACAATTTTGTGGTTAAATTTTGAATCATTTATAGTTTTTATATAAAAAAGTCTATGAAAAAGCTATATAAATATTTTGATTTTAGGCAAATTTTTATATTTCAATTACCTTTTAAGATCTCATAGTATTATACTGAATAATTTAATTATTATTTTAAAATAGTATAAAAGGAGGGGAAAACGACTACATATCAATTAGAGGTCTATAATGGGTGATCACCTCCCCCCACCTTTTAACTTTTTATTCACCCACTCACTAGTATAACTTATTATGCGTTCTAGTTCATTGATTGAAAAATATAATTGTTTGGTTTTTAATTTTTTAAAAAAATACTTATAATACGCCCCCTGCCCACCCCACTTATAAAATATCTTAAACTAACGCATGTTGTTTTAAAAAATATTTTTCCCCGCATACCCATTCTTTAAACTTTTTTTAAAACGCCCGCGCCTTGCAGACTTCTAATGTACATTTATTTCTCATAATCAATGTCAGTTTAAAAAAATGTAACCAGGGACTTGAGCCATTTATTCGAGTTTCATTTCCTTTCAAAGTTCCCTGTTTTACACGATTATACTTTCAATACAAATCGAAAAATTTTAATTAAAATTGTAAAAAAAAATATGTAAGTAAAATAAATTATGCAAAAACCATGCTTATAACTAATAAATAATATATAATATAGGTTGATAAAATTTTGGTGGTTAGCATAAAATTTGTGACAGAAATCCTAATTAAATATTTATAAAAATTTTCCATCACTCTTAAATAAAAAAATTTTTTGATTTAAATTAATTACAATTTTGGCTGATTTATATATACTTTAAATAATGTCTTCAGTTAACTAAATTAATTTTTGAATCATTCGACTATATCAAAGAAATTATAATGTATTGTATAAAAGTATATTGATTTATTTCTCGATAAAATTTGAAAATATTATTTTTTTAAACCACAATCAACCTTAAATCTAACATCCTTCCCTTCTTTTACTATTATGCCTGATATCTGTCATATTCATATGGTTCAATTATTTCTATCACGATTACGATGAAATGATCAGGAAATGTAAATAATTTGGAATATTGATCCTAAGTCCACCATGCCAAGATTCAAACTCCTGAATTTGATCGTCAATCGGGGGCTTATTATATACCTCTGGGATTTAATGATTATTAAGAGAGACCCCGGGCAGGGCCGTATTTTAATTTTATTTAACTATCCGGCCCGGACCTAAAAAAAATTTTTTTAAAAAATACCCGTCCCTTGCCATATATTTTAAAATCCCATTAATAGCTATAAAAGTTAAAAATAAATATAGTATCTTCTTCTTCTTCTCCGTTTTATGGCAATTTCCAGGTTTACCCGGGTAGGCCAGTTTTCCCTCTGATTTTTCTTTTCCATTGTATATTTTAAAAAAATTTGAGGCGGGCTTAAAAATATTTTTTTATAAAAAAAATCCGGGCCGGGTATGAAATTTTTTTAAAGAGAAATCCGGGTAAGGCCGTGCAAATAGTACCTCTGCAGATCTCAGATTATTACATCCTATCTTTTTTATATATAATATTATGCATATGCGACTATAAATATTTTCTATATTAAATCATATATAAAAAATTTGTGTAACAATGTATGAATTTAACTTTTAACCATAATTAACTCTTTCAAATGAGTATTAATTATCTAATATAGGGGCGTCACTAGCCTTTACAATCATTCAGGAGGGGGGGGGGGCTCGAAAAATTTTTTTAAAATTATTTTCAAAATTACTTTATTTTTTTTAGCTAACATTATCCAAATTTAACTTTTTTTAACAATCTAAAATTACCTTTTTTTAAACTAACTTACCTATTTTTTAGTGGTATAAAAAAAATTCAAAATTTTGAGGAGGCTCTTCAAATTTTTTAGGGGGCTCACACCTCTGAGCGCTCCTTCCCCTTCCCTAGTGGAGCTGCTGATCTAATAACTATCTTATGTAAAAGATTAAACTCTATTCTAAATAAAATGAGCAAAAAATCAATATAATAAAATAAGAATCTGGGTTTAGTTTTCAAAGGTCCATACGAACCATTTAACATGGCAATTTTAATATTTATAAATATTAACAGAAATTATGATTTTAAAATGAATATTATTTTTACACAAACAAATATTTTATAAAATAAAATACAAATTTTATACATAAACGTCATATTTTTATTTTAGTCCCCATGCATAAGATCTACCTTCTCCGGGCATGGCTTAGACTTTCCCAGACTTTAGATGGTGCAAAAGTAAGTAAGGAGGAACAAAATAAAATATTATTTATTAAGAATTTATCAAAGTAGTTTTGCTTTTTAGAATTCGCATTATCCTCGATCTTTCTTGCTAAATATAAATATAATTTAACTAATATCTTCGAAAAAATATAATTAGTATGCAGAATTTGGAAGCTTGACTAAAACTGGTTCTAGTTTCGGTTAAGATATTTATTTTAAAGAGTGGTTCTGATCTCGGTTTGTTAATTTGAAGCGGTTACGAGGGTTCCAGAAGTTTCGTTTGCAAACTCGTTAAAGTAATCAAAAAAAAGCTCAAACAATAGATAAACCCTATGAAAAGAATCAGGCAACAATAATATGGGTAAATTATTCGCACTATTATTAGATTCCTTTTAAAAAAGGATTCCAGGTTCAGGATTCAAACTCGGATATCCATGTGATATTTTTTTTAAGAATTAGTCAATCCACAACTTTTAGGGATCTGAACCTAGTACCATATAAAGGCCTCCATTACTTCCCATTAGCTTAAATAATTTTAAATAATAAATAAAGGATGTTCAACTAAATTTTTCAATTGGATATAATTGATATATTTACAAATATAAATAACGACATTTTTATAAAGAGAGAGAGAAATACTTTTGAATCTGTGCCGATAGGTAGTTTGCATTCCTTACAATAATTAGAGAAAAGCTCTTCGTAGCATTTAAGGCAATATTGATTTTCGTCTTTGACGATGTATCGCTTTCCCGTCAGGGATTGATTACAATTTTTGCAGGTAAAGTGTCCATTATGCCAATCTTTATTCATGGCTTTGGTGTATTCATTCGCGAATATCAACTGTTGTTTTATAAATGATTTTTTTAAAAAATTTATATATTATAATAGTAAATATATTTTAATTAAGTTCCTAGTGAGTAATATGTAAAAGCGTAAATTTAAACATGGCTAAATTATTAATGTTTGAGCAAAAAGTTTTTTTTTGAGCATGGCTAAATGTCAATAGCTAGCAATCGTTTATTTAATTTTTATTAATTAGGGATAAAACTAAATAAATCTAGGGTTTGAAATTTAATCCTGTAATAGATAAATACAGAATAAACTTATCGACAAAAAAATTTGCCATGCGTTATTAACGCATTAAATTCACAATAAAAAAAATGTTTTAATCGTTAAAATATTTTAAAGTAATTATGCTTTAAGTTATCATAAATGATATATGAAATGAAAGTTTAGCCCTCCTCTATCACTTTGAGAGTTTTACATAATAAACGGCTAAGGTTAGGAGTACGTCAGGTGAATGCTTATGGTCATAGAACCAAAAGTAGCGCATTATTAGTCATATTTTCAAAAAGTAGCTTTCGCTGATTTTTACGCTACAATAGAATTTTTAAATTTTTTTTTATATTTCCAATCTATATTCATTTAACATTTCAAATTCAAGCATTTAAAAAATATTAGTATAAAAATATGACTAAAAATTTTAAATATATAATAATTTATTTTGTTGCATTTTAATGCACTTGATATCAAATTTTATATATATTTATATAAAATAAAATTATCAAAAATACTCTTTTGAGTATTTTTAGATTTTAAAAAAGGGTCTAGGGAATATTTTAAATGGATTCTTTATTTTAAAAAATCCTCCATAGCAGGTGACGTTCTTGATGTACTAGGTATTGCATTTTTGTCTGGTATACGATTACTCAATGTTATCATTAGCCTACTAGTTGTCTTTTGAATCCTATCATATAAATTTAAAACTAGGGTGAATAATAGCAGCTAGCACGTTATTATCATAAACCTTATGCTGAATTTTAAAAGATCTGGATGTCTAAAAACAATATTTGCAAGTACATCATAAATCTGGCAGCCAATTACTCTTTTTAGAGCGAATGCAGCATATATTTATTTTTAATGCCTTGGGATCTAGCCAATGGCCAGCTACTCTTAAATAAATTATAAATAAAAAAAAAATACTTTATTCTACGTCCTATTATGAGTCCAATAATATGCTGTTGTACAGGTGTAAGAGACATCTGATAGATCCAATAATAAAGACTTTCATTTCTTGAGAATTAGTCAGTCCTGCCATCAATGTATGCCAGAAAAATGGTATGTGAAGATTATGTCTTTATAAGATTGATAAATAAGGGATTATGGATCAAGGATTGGCTGAACCATATCAATTATAAGATTGATTATGACTGTAGCTGTAACCTTTGAGAAACCTAGTAGATATTGTAGGATTGATCAATTTTGTTTCAATTAAATTTTGAAGTAGTTCTTCTAGTACACCAAAATTATTGAAATACTTTTCACTGAGAAATTCGAAGTGTGGTAATTATAAATTTAAAACAGTAATAATTTTAATAAAATTTATGAATAATGCTTTTAAATGTTTCTTTAGGTTGAAGCTGCTTGATTTATTGGATAATATTATTCCCAGGCATTTTATACATTGAAATTTAAACCCGTTACTAATTTTTTTATTGGGTGAAAATATTTCGCAACATTGGGAAAAGGAAATTCCACAATATCATTTTTCAAAGAAATTTTGTTGTTACCTATCTCAAAATTCTCTTTTATATCAATTCATATTAGCATAATTTTACATTTTAAATTCTTGATAAATTAGAAAATGCAAGATTTTGAAATATATATTTAAATAATCAAATTAAATATAAAGTTATAATTTTAAAATTAATTTAAAAAATTATAAATAAATATTAGTAATTTTTATAATTGTATTTATTAAATAAAATTGAAAGTAGTGAAATAGCGAGATACATAGCTACTCCGAAAAAGGAGCACGCTATTGGTATTGCTATTTTTTTAAAGTAAAGTAGCGCGATAACAACTCTGCATTCATATAATTAAATAATAATTGTTTTACAATATTTTACCATTATTTTTTATAGTTTTTCATGATTTTATGTGTGTTTCTACTTATCCTATTACTATGTTAACTAAACCAGTTACTATGTCCAACCTACCCTTTTTTTGGATTGGAAAATAAAAATATATTAAAAATTATAATTTACTAAAAATGACAGATTAGTCAGTTACCCTTTAAGATATGTCTAATTTTTTCGTTAATAAACATAAGGGTTTTTACAAAATTCAGCTCAATGTTCCTTTTTGAATAGTTTCCATTTTTTACAAATATTTTAAGATTTTAATTGATAGTTATAGAAATTTGTCTGTTAAGTAAACAAAAAAAATAATATAATTAATAAATAATATAGAAATTATGGATGGGATCTTAAAATCAGAAGGAGTCACGTATTATTTTAGGTAAAATAAGTGTAATTTAATTGAAAATCAAAATATATTTTATAATTATAATTGAATGAGATATAGTATTAAAAAGTAGTATTATATTTGATATGGAGTGTATAAATGATGGAAAACACAGAGGCGGTATACTTTATTGATTAAACATTAAATTTTGACGTATATATTATCACTGACTCACGTGTCGAGCCTTTTACGAAAGGTATTATCACGAATGTTGATCAATAGATATTTCCACACATATCGGGAATGCCAATTACCGCAAAAAGGCTTATCCTCAGATACATCACCATGAAAACATTTCGAGGAACGCATTCAAGGAAATTGTTTTCACAATAATATATTCGCTATAATGTATTCGAGAAAAGAGGTATCGAGACTCGCCCTAATGGTGCTAATGTATTAATGATAGACATGTAACCGCTTTTAATAGTTTGGAAACTGGGGGTGGATAAAAATAATTAACATTGCTTCCATAAACTAGTAAGCACTAATCATGAATTATATTTTGTTGATTACTTCTATAATTTTCCTTCTAGCATGTTATGGCATAGCAACCCGAACCTAAATCGTGAAAAAAAAATGTCACTCAAATCTGAATAAAACTTAAAAATGTATGTGAACCGGTATACCTTTTGATATTCTAACTCTTTTAATGGTGATTAATTTTTAATGAGATTTGATGGATATCCGTATAGAATATTCTCCTTTCTCCTCATAGATATAACTTAATATAAGAGAATCTTGAAAATATTTTAATTTGTATACGACTCAATATTATTTTTTAGAGAATAATAATAAAAAATATTTTTAAATGTACTTCTCATTGAATAATTCTAATTAGTTTGTAAGAAAAAAGATTCGCACCGGTTTATAAATGTTGTTCGAACCGAACTTAAAACCCCTTATATTTTATCTGAAACAATATTTGGCATGGTTCGAATCCCTGTATAATAGCGACAAAAACTGTGTAAAAAATTACACAATAAGAAAAAATTTATAATCGATCTCAACATAAATTTATTTTATCATAAAATTGTGGTGCATTTCTTTTCTTAGTCTTAATTAGGGGAAAAAAAATTCATATAATTTTTTTAACTCATAGCATATATACTTTATACTTATATTTATATATATAAGCATATAATATATATTGGAAATTAAAACTCATTATTAAATAAATATCATTTTTTTATATTCATGTTTCGTCATTTATCGTCTTCGAGAAGTGTTAAAAAGTCATATTTAATAATATTCTCAAGAAATAAAATATATTTATTTACATAAATTTCCTTGTGTAATGACAATTTTTCATTGTAATATTGATTTAAAAAAAGAGTATATATTTAAAGTTTATACATATTTAAGGAATTATTAGAATATATTTATTTTGTTGGAATTTTTATTTTTATCTATAATGTATTCAACATGTTAGTTTTTTTATACTAGATTATCAGGTATATAATTGTTAACTACGGGAATTATTTTAAGTCTATTTACAACAATATACATTTATCTAAATTTAATATATAGTAGAAATTAATGCATACAATCAAAGACCCGCAGAGGTACCATTTGCACGGCTCCGATTTTTTTTTTAAAAAAAAAATTTCGACCTGGCCCTGATTTTTATTATATGGGCGATTTAAAATATTCGGTTATAAAATATACGGCGAGGCCCGGATATTTATTTAAAATTAAAATAAGACCGGCCCGTGGGGTCTCTCCTTTCAATATTACTTAATTGATATTATACAATTGCTATGATATACACTATTTGTCTTAAGATTTTATATGCAAGTAATTCAAAAGTCTGGTATGCAAAAATCAGTCCAAAAAAAATAATTAAATAATTTTATTTTTTGTGTTGCTGAAAAGCCCGATTTGGGTCGATTTTTAAAAACGACCCAATTAAGATTTTAGCCATAATAGTATTGTGTAAGCCTCAAGATTTAGCAAGTAGAAGTCCAAACCATTCTGCCATCTATGAACAAAATCACCAGGCTTACATAATATTATTTCGGTTATAATCTTAAATGGGCAGTTTTTAAAATGGACTCGACTCGAACTTTTTAACATCACTAGCCCCATATGAATTTTTTTTATCCGAACTGTAGTGATGCAAAATTACTCCATCTGAGTCGATTTTAAAAATGGCTAACTAATATTTTAGCCAGAAAAATATTGCCTAAGCCTCGTGATTTCGCTAATCGATATTCAAACCTTTAGGCCATCTATAAGATCTTCAGACTTGCGTAATATTTTTCTGGATATTGAGTTAGCTATTTTTAAAAATCGGCTCAAATGGAGCGATGTCGCATCACTACTGGGCTGGACGGCCTCTGGAATGTTTACCAAGCTTTAATAATAATATAAAAAAAATTCAAAATAAGGTGCTTTTTTCTAGGTCCAAGTATAATCTTTTGGTTTTTTTAGTCAATTAAGTTTCCAGTGAAAATCTTTTAAGCTTTTAATATAAACTGATAATTTATTTACAAGTCCATCGAATATGAATTTTAGTTTCTTTTATATAATAATTC